TGGGGGTGAGTAGAAAATGAAGGCTAATCATGTTTTGGGTGTACTATTCCTTTAATATTTGGATGTTTAAAGAATACTAGATGATAGATATTTACCCCTGAGCCACAGTAGCGTCCGAGTCGAGGAGACTTGGTGTCCGCTCCATCAAAGAGCTCCATATAGTCATAGCCGCAGTCTGCCTCCTCCTCTATCTCAAAAGTCTGGAAGATGAGCTCCACACCATAACCTTTCTCTGCAGAAATCACCCACTGACAGTCAGACGCTCCGGGATAGTTATTGTCCCCAAACTGGGCATGGGAAAACAGATCCTTGGTTTTGACTTCGGCCTTTAGACGACCTCCACATTCTGGGCAGAAAGGTAAACACAAAATAAAGGTCAACTCAAGCAAAATGAGAAATGAATTGTTGCTGAATATATAAAACAAATGCTTCCTCAGTGTACTCTTTACCTGCTGAATGAGTAGCCTCAAAACCTTTTTTCTGCACAGAGTTGTCAGAGAAGAAACGGAGGAACAGCTTGTTGCTACTTGATATGATGGGTGGGGGTTTCTTGGAGCCACAGAAGCGACCCAAGGAGGTGGCTTTTGCATCTCGCCCGTCGTATATCTCAATGTGGTCATATGCACATTCTAGGTGGGCCTCCATGTCCAGCTCATTAAAGGCCTGTCATAAAACATAATTAGTGAGATTAGATTTAATGGGTAGGAGTGAGATTCCTATTACTGTCTAAATGCTAGCACTCAGATTGCTGAGTTCCCCCCCTCTGTAGAAATGTGTCCACTTTCAGGTCATTTTAACAAACTTTATTTTTGCAGACTAATTACATTCTACTGATTTCAGGAAGAAGTTTAATTTAAATCTGTCATTGCTTTTATAAAAACAAAGTTTAAAATCACATAGATTTGATCAATCTAATGTTAGACTATTTGCCATTAATTCTACCAAATTACATCAGTTATAATAATTTTGATGTCAGTTATTCTGCCCAATACATAACAGAAGGAAAAATTATCTCATCCTCTCATCTGATCGTATGCAAACAGAAATACTGCATGTACTTTAAGAAACAATAGGGTAATGAACGGAATCATTTTATCCTTAATTATAAAGGTGAAGCTAACGTTATCCTGTGAAATTGTTATAATATACATTTTAATACCATTATAAAAATGTAGAACTGTAAAACAACATTTATTCATATTAATTGAAATATTACCTACAATAAAAGGAAGACTTTTTTCATAGAAATAGTAAATAATTTCATAATTTAATAAAAAAAACTAGTGAAATTGCTTTGCTGGAAAAGGTTTCTCAGGCAATGACTGACATGTCATTAGTTTTCTTGTGCTTCCTCTTTTTTTAAACGTTTCACTATTTATCTTAAACATACACAAAAAAATTCACTGCTTAATTTAATTATTTTAGTGCATTAGCAAATGAGCTGAAATAAGGAATCGTGCTTCCAGGACATATAGCCTAAAACATTATTGTTATTGGTCAGTATTGACCAGTAAAAATATTGACCAGATATGGTGTCGGCATAAATCACACTGATTTTTATTACTCATTTTATAATGTGGAGGTTGATCAAGTAATTATTCAATCCGGTTCTTGTTTCTTAACTGATGTCAAATATCAATTTTGGAACAAAAAATCTCTAGATCAAAAACTTCAGAGATTTAAAATTTGTAAAAATTCTCATTTAAAAACATATTTAAGAGAACACTCCATAATATTAGCTAACAATATTTCCAAAAGCTTTTATGAAATGAATTAAAAAGTTTCTAGTTTTACTTCAGTTTTGTTTTAATCAATTTTCTTCTCCATTTGTTTATGGGGAAATTATACACCAGCTACATTTGAATATTGTTAGCAAAATTTTGCATTTTTTTCTCCATAACTGGGGCACAAAAAAATAAAAATGTGGAAAATGTCAGAAGGGGGAGCCACACATCATCAGTAGAAATACCAGAACAGATTCCAGCAGGAACACAGTAAACACAGATTGGTTATATTAAGCACTTCAGTTAAGGGAAACACAGATAAAAAGATACAAACACAAGCAATTAAATTAATGAGGGAGGGAGGAGGACATACTATTTTGATGCGGTGGCCTGGAGTAGTGGTGAGTGCCCAGGTGCACGCTTTCTTGCTGGGGTATTTATCTGGCCAGTTAGGGCTGGTAATAATACCGCTCACACTATTCACAGTGTGATCACAGCCAGCTGTGAGAAATAAAATTAAAGAATGAATATTTATATATAGGTGCCCTCACTGCCACCATATAAGAGACCATAATCTGTGGTAGAATACCTTCTTTACAGTCATGTTTGTTCTCATGCAGCACAAAGCCGCTCCTACACTGACAGCTGTAGCTTCCAAAGGTGTTGACACACTCATGCTGGCATCCACCATTCTCCTTAGAGCACTCATCCTTATCTGCAGCAAAGAAAAAAAAAATTCACACTTGAAATTTTCACACTGAATACTAATTGATCAAAATTACCAGCGACAGATGGAAAACACATGGATTTTGGGAGGATTTACCTGAAAAGAACTGGGCTTTGAAGCCCTTTTTGGAGACCGTGTTGTCTGATTTAAACTCTATACGCATGTTGTTATACTGAGAAGTGATAGCTTCTGGTTTTTCTGCTCCACAGAACTTCCCATGCAGCCTCGAATCTGCAGAAAGCCCACTGCGTACCTCTACGTAGTCGTACTTACAAACCTGAACAGATAAACAAAGCATGAGAAAAGTGGAGCGCAATCAGGTCCTTAAATAACGCTTAAAGCAGCAAATATAGCCTCTGATTATAGATCATAGATTATAGAACAGTCCTTTATCAAATACCTTTATGAAAGACTGCAAAATTTGGATAATTCCAGAAAACACAATCTGTTGTAATTATCTGTTGTAATCTGTTGTAGTTTTATCTTTAATGGCATCTTGCTTCAACTCTGCCCTTTGTACTCCATATAAGCTAGAACAAATGTTACACTGGTCTAAATTTAAAACAAAAAAGAAACATTTATTAAAACATCTTAAAAATTATGAGCAGCTAAGGATGAGCTGCAGTTAACCTAAAGGCAAGGCTGCTGGATGCGCTAAAAGGAACAAAAAGCAATTACTGTATGGCCGACCAATATACCAGTCTATCACTCCCACTGAGTATTAATTAAAAAATAAAACAACATGGCTGAAGAGATACCAGTTTACCAAACAAAACACTGGCTGGTCTGTAGAGAAACTAAATGTGCGCACCAGTGTTCATCATATTTAGTTTTTTAAATATAATATAAATCCAGACATGTTGCATTGTGCTGAAGAGGAAATTCATACAAAGAATGTTTTAGCCAGAATAAGACTATGTAGAGTCACATGAAACATTTGGTTTCTGGGATAAAACTAAGAAATAAAGAAGAATTCTCTAATGTAGTCCAACGGTTCTGGGTTCGGATACCTGAACATAGATGCAAGAAGTCGGTCCAGAATGCAACCCAGATGTGTGGCCGTTCTAAGATAAAGGGGCTATACAGCTAAATATTTCTAAAAGTGTTCACAGGAAAGCTTATTCTTCCTTTCTTTTTATACACTAAATGATTGAATTTGCAGAATGCAACTTATTCTTCCCTTTTTTCCTAAGTGGGGTGATGGTTTAATGATTTTTTCCCTTAATGCTTTGACTGGCAAAAGAATGGGTATGGTTAACACTGCTTCCTAAAACACAATTGTATAAAATGAGAGCAGAAGGAAGTGAACTTAATCTGTTGTCAGATTGGAGAGATGAAAGAGCACGGAACAAACCCACCCCGTATCGACTGTTAAAACCCCAAATTCTCACATCATTGCCCTCAGTCTCGAAGACGTCAAAGAGCAGAGTGATGCGGTATTGCGTTGGGGCCACCAGCTGCCAGATGCAGTTTTTGCTTGGGGGATACTCCCTGGGCCACCCCGGGCTGGTGATTGAGCCGTTCAGCTTGGTAATAAATCCTCCACAGGCAGCTGGACACAACACATCATAGGAGAAGTCAGCCACAAACAGTGAAACTCAGAACTAGCTGAGTGGATGAAAAAGGAAATCATATTAAAAAAAAACTTAACAAGCTTTCTGTTTGTTACACAATTCCCTATGCTAAAAGTAGCAGCACAGAAACCCTCACCTAACAATTCTAGGCAGAAATTAATGTGCAATGTTGATCCTTAGCAACCGCAGCAAAGGCTGTGTTGACACATGGAGTTATTAAATGTTGGAGTCATAAAAGCAACACTACGAAACTATTTTTACCAGCCAGTCCAGATTCAAGATAGTAGATTCTGACTCATTTGACTTTTTCACTACATGCAAGCATACGACCAAATATAAAATATTACTTCTGGAAGTAATAAGTAGTACCTCTATTATTCAACTGAGGGTCTTGTTAAAGTAACTGCATATCTGATCTGCACTAGAGATAGGCATTTATACGGATAAAATGTTTTCCCTTTCTGTAACTTAATCACATATTCATTGGATTTCATTGATGTGGATTTCATTCAATGTGACAATCTAACACTAAGTAGCACATTTAGGTTAAGGGGGAGAAAAGGGATGCATCCTTTTGAAACGTGTTTGAAAACCAGAAGAAAGTGAGAAAACATTTTTTGACATTTTTAGTCTAAGAAGTTCAAGGGGTGTAAATAATTTTGCAAGCAACCATTTAATAACCGTTACCGCAGAAACTTTGCTATCCGTATTTTATTTCTGCCACTGGATTAAGCAACCAAAATGGAACGACATCAGTCTTCCTCTAGAGCCAGGAACGGAATAAGTGGTTATGCGGTGAGGCTTGTAAACTAGCATTTAGGTTTTAAAGACAACCTATAATTTAAGACAGAAATAAAGCTTGCGTTACTCTGACCCAGATCTCTAAAAACCCGGTACCCCCAGCGACGCGGCCCATTCTGCTGGGATCCTTTCAGGTGCTTGTGAATGACTGTACTTATTGTATTTGGGTAGCTAAGTGTGTAAAGTGTTTTAGGATGTAAATGACATGGTGAACGGGGCTGCCGGCCATCCTCCCCTGTACTTACCCTCACAGCTGCGCTTGTCAGCAGCCAGCTCATACCCTGGGTCACAGGCACACTTGTAGCTGCCTAGAGTGTTGACACAGCGTTGCTCACAGCGACCGTTGTCCGGTTTGGAGCACTCGTCCGTCTCTGAAAACACAAAAAATGGTGTTGGGGACCTTTAGGCTGGGCCCCTCTCAGTTCAATGGAGAAACTATCCAAAGCAACACATAAGTCAGTCAAAGATGGTCGCTAAGAGCAAGCCGGACACATATGAAATGAATGATTCCTGGAATACGTCTTTTTCCTGGAACCCGTTGGATATTGAGCCTCTCTGACCCCTTACCTTTGAAGAAATTGGCCGCAAAGCCGGCTTTGTTGACGGAGCCATCTGAAACAAATTTCATCCACAGATGGTTGGAGCTCGTTTTGATGTCATCTGGCTTTTCGTATCCACAGAAGCGGCCCAGCAAGGGGCTGCTTTCAGAGAGGCCGTCACGCACCTCTAAGTAGTCATATGCACAGCTGTCATGTCTTTCAATCTGTGGACGGAAGCAGAGTTTAAAATTAAAAAAGGAGATTATAAGTAAAGCGCACTCAGGTGAAGTGACGAAAACAGGAGAGTGTACCTCAAAAGACTGGAAGGTAAGGCCTACGTGGAAACCCTGAGAAACAGAAATCTTCCAAATGCACACTTTATTGGGCCTGTAGTCGTCAGGGTAGTTTGGGGACTGAATCTGTCCATTGTCCCTTTTCACTTCACCACCACAGATGGCTGCATAAAAGAAGAGAAATAAAGGTCTCTTAACAGCGAAGGCTTAAAGGAAATGCAGCAGAAAGCCAGGATTCCTAAATGTAAATCTATTTACACAAATACTAGAAGAATAAGCAGAGACACTGAACAGGAAGCCAAATTGGATCAGTTCAACATAATGTCTTAGACACATCAGCATCAGGAGGGCCAATCGCAGTCTGTGCTGCTGCAGCAGCTTCCAGCCACAATTCTAAAAGTCAACATCTGAGGAACAGGCATGTGGAAATAATTGTAGCCTACCCTCGTAGACGGCGGAGAAACCTTTCCCGACCCAGTTACTGCTGCTGCGGAACTCGATCCACAATCGGCTGTCGGTGGAGATGATTGGCTCAGGCAGCTTGTCACCACAGAAACGACCTGGGTCACAGGTTAATGAGCAAAAATTTAACAGGAAATTAGATTGTTATGATCCTCTGACATCTTAACAGAGTCTTATTTCAGGTGCCTTTAAATTAATCAGAATCGAAATGAATCCTGTATAAATAAATTAGAACATTGTCTTAAAGTTTACATTTACGACGGGCGTTCAATAAGTAATGCCCCTGACCCACTTCCACTTGTTTGATCTGGCTGAAATTTTTCATGTGCATTTATTTATATATCTATAGATTACGTGGGAAATTACAGCTCTGAACTAATTGTGTTTTCCGATTTACAGATGTTTGAACTGAGTGAAGTCTGAAATGGAGCCTGTTGAGTGTCTAGCAGTGATCTGGTTTTTGTATGCCTCATATGGCCACAATTAGTTCAGAGCTGTAATTTTCCACTTAATCTATAGATATATAAATAACTGTACTTGAAAAATTTCAGCTAACTCAAACTAGTGGAAGTGGGTCAAGGGCATTATTTATTGAATGCTTCTCGTATTTTTCTATTTCAATTATATACCTATAAATCCTTTATTAAACAGACTCACGGTAGGATACATTTTTGATTATTTTTTAAACATTTTAATCGTAACAGCTTAAAGCTAATGAACACCTTGAGTTAAGGATTTCTTAGATGAAAAAAAACAACAGTTATGAGGAGATGTTATGTTGTGTGCATGTTAAAGGCAGAAAGCTCGTTGCTGTAGAAGTGGGCTGTTCAGATTGCCATAACCAAGCATAACAATGGAAAGCTGAGTGGAAGGAAAAGGTGTAAAAAAAAAAAAAAAAAAAAAAAAAAAAGGTACCCAAGAAACAAAGATAATGGCAAGCTAAAGAGGAATTAGAAGTAAAGCTCTTCCGTTAGTTTGGAGATTCATAAGGTGTGGACTGCAGCAGCAGTCGGCGCTTGAAGAGCCACCACACACGTACGTATCCAGGACATCTGCTGTATTCTTTATGCTAAGGTGATCTGAAGCAGAGGCAACATGAAAAGCTGAGTTAATGAGAGGAAGGACTAGAAAACTGTTTAAGTCCTCAGTTAGTTCAGATATCGACCAGGACATGTTAGACCACATCACCCCTCTACTGAAAAACCTTATGGAGATTCTCATTTCTTCTTTACCAGGACTTTAAACCAGCCACACATAGATTGAATCTTTCTTTTAAAGACCATGGTATCATGTGCTAAATGAGGCGGTGAGGTAATATAATCAAAATAATGAAAAAGTATTCTATGGAGTATCGTCAACAAAAAGATGAGAGGAAGCAATGAGGAGAAACTAAAAGGAATTATCGAGGCTACCTGATCCTTCTTTACGTTTCAGCACAACCACATGCTGATCAGTTCCATTGTGGAAAGTGAGGCCAGACTAAGAACTGAGTGACATTTCCGGATTCACATCTATTTCATTGGTTTTATGTAATTTTCAGGCAAACTAATGCTTTGGTACCTTAAATCAGGGCAGTGTCTAGAAATCCTTCCAGTTAAATGAACATGTGATGACATTCTAATTCATTGGCCTGTGTCTGCAAAGCAGTTTATGTCTGTTATATTTCAGAAACTAGAGCAAATCAGGCTTTACTGGAATACTTGCTATTACAGATTTTCAGGTCTTCTATTAGGTCTGACCAAAGTACTAAAATTTGGAAATTCAGACCAATTCAAGGTTCAAGATGACTTGATTGACAGATGACAGACCCACACATTGACAGGTACTCCCAGCAGCTCATTAAAAAGTGGTTAGACAACTTGAACTACAAAATGTAAACAAATAAAATGAATAAAATAAAATTGATGCCCATAATGTTAATATATTAACCTTTGGAGCATGCTAAGACACAGGAGTGAGATACAAAGAACAGTGAAGTAATGTTAAATAAATAAGTAGATAAAAGACAAATATCGATATAAATAAAACAAGGTATGATAGCAGGTACAGCTAAAGAAAGGTTTCAATAATAAAGAAACTCCTTTACTCTTCCAGTGATGATTATCTTTGAGTTCTGGATTGCATGTGACATACCATGATAGTTTTATAATCTTAAAAAAAAAACTGACCTTTTAGTGGAGCCTTCCTCCAGTATCCATCGCGGATCTCCACATGATCGTACCAACATAGGTGACTCCTGTACAGATCCATGGAGGTGAAGTTCAAGATGATCTTAAAGAAAGAAGAAAGTACAATTACTGATGGTGATTGGAGAGAAGATCATTCTAGAACCGCATTTTGCTCCATATACAGGTATCAGTTTGGTAATCTACAGACTGTTTTTTTCTCCACATTCTTCTTTAAGAAATATTTCAACTGGAAGTATCTAATACGTCCTGGTTTAGATATATTCAAACATTTTAAAGGCTTGGAATGATCCATAACCTGTATTGTCTTCTTAACTTTAACTAGGCCAATCTAAACACATACAAATGCTTTGATCTAAATCTCTTTCCAGGGCTCTGACTTGATGTTTTCCTACTGGAAGGTCAACATCAACTCAATTGGAAAGTGTTTAGCAGCATTTGACTAGTTTTCCATCAAGATTGTCTTGCATTTTGATTTATCCATCTTCTCATCTAAACCGTTTCTCTGTCCTTGCTAAAGAAAAATCCTCCCACAGCACCATGCTGCCCCCTTTCATGTCATTTAATCTTAAGGATCTTGTGTTCCAAATGATAAACTATGTAGGTTTTCAGGGAAGTAAAGCAAAGGGTTTACTTTGGCCTAATATGATCAGGATCCACATATTTACTATATCATCTACACAGTTTGGATTTGTCTACATTTAATTGATGCATTGAATAAAACTCTCTGAGATGTTGAAAGCATGGGGTATTTTTTTAAAACCTGACATTTATTTGAATATCTTAACAAATTTAAGCTTTCCTCCATCTTCATTATGCTGTTTATAAACCTCTCAAGTCTATGTGATACAGTTGAAATGCAACAACATTATATTACAAAGGCTTTCTAGGGGGATATCATGGTGGTGGAGCAGTGACATACGCCATGTTTGATTATTATTTTTAATTTATAAATAAACTGACGCAACCCTTGGTTTTCTCTTAAACTGAACGTTTAAGTGTATGTTTTCCTTTTGGGAGGAATAGTGTTTTAAATGTCTATGATTTTAGGATTTTTAGGATTGATATGAATAGACAATTAAAACCCCTTATCCTTCCGTTCTAAAACTCTTCAAGATACACCACTATGATATGTATTAACAGGACCAATATTTTGATGTTTTTCCATGGAAACGATCCATTTCAACTGGATCCGTGAGGACCTTTGAACCAGAATTACATTATGTCAGTTAAGGATAATTTTAACAGTCATTGGTCAAAGAATCTCAGAGTTGTTCTTGTACCATCTATATGCCTTTACCTTTTCCCCTGGTGTGACTGATATTCTCCAGATGCAGTGCATGTAGGCCGAGTATCCGTTAGGGAAGCCAGGGGAGGAGAAGTTCCCGCTGCTTTCCTGCAGACTGTCCCCACATTCTGCGCACAGACAAAGAGAACTGAAGGTAAAGGCTCCAGCAAGCAAGACCATGCAGAGTAAACAGACTTTGCACACGTTCTGAAATGACCCCTTCCATCCACAAACGCACACACATTGAAATTTTATCTCAGGGACAGATGTTGGAATCATATCACTAGTTGTGACACAAAAGGGAGCGCTTTAATGTTTATAGGCACATCTGCTGGTAATATCACTCCCATCCATGCATCTCCTCAGCCTCACACCCATCCACTCCAGATGATGATTTCACAAAGGAAAGGAGAGCGTGTGTAACAATAACCACCCTCTGAAAATAAGCCTGGTGCTCTATAAATAAGACAGCCATCGCGGGAGGTGATGCTTTATATAAATGTCATCAGAGGCAGGAAGAGAAAAAAAAGCGTTTAGTTTGACTGTCAAAGTGTAAGCGTTAAAGTGTACACAGATTTATTCCAGGCCCACAGAGCTTCCTGCCAAGTGGGGGAAAGATGTGTCTGATTAAGTCACAAAGGAACAGAGAGCCGTCGGCTGTTTGTGTCAAGAACCGTTAAGTTATTCAAAGCTAAATCTGCATTATTTCACCTTAATACTACTAAGGAAATCATCTTTTGTTACTGAGGACTGTTTGTGAGCAATAAAGCTACTAGCTGAGCTTCCAGACGAGTGTGATAATGCTTGGCAGAGGTCTGCTAATTTAAAACCAATAACCAGCCAAAAGGGATGAATCAGGGATGACAAACACTCAAAGGAATGTTTCTTAAATGGGAGACGTTTGGAACATTAAGATTTTTCCCCCCATCAAGACGCAGAGAGACTCACTCACGGCTTCAAGCCCTACATCATTCACTCGTCCACAGAACGCTGAATCATCGAGGATTAATAGGGCTGAAGGGTTGCCATAAAACTTCAGATTCATCACGCTTTAAAAAAAAGAAAACGCACACATAAGTGGGCCGTCTGTGGTGACCCAGCTCTGTGAGAATTTGTGAAAATTTAGGGGAAGAATGACCACAAGCAACAAACACAGATGTTACAGGACAGATTGTCCAATAGTAATCTTACACTTTAAACATCTTATATTCCATCACGCTATAATGATCACAATCTTAAATATAGATACCGTACATGGATGTTTATGTGACAGAAAAGTCAGGTGTGCCTTAGAACTCCTCCCCCCTCATATTAAGGGGAGGTTGCAGCTGTAAATGTTTCATCCTCCTTTTTGAAAAGCTTTAAAATGTTTTCCCCATATTGAGAACCATACATGTTCTTTGATCTCTGACCATCTTTCCCATCCTTGCTAAAGAGAATAATCCCCAGCCTAATTCTGCATTTGGTATGCAGATATTTCAACCTGAGCAAAGGATCTCTGCAGCTCCTCCAAAGCCACCATACACCTCTAGATTGCTCTATGTGGGTTTGCTTGGTATGTTTTATAACATACATTGCTACTCTCTAACATGTCCGATGTGTTGTTTGCTCTTCATTATGCTAGCTTATATTCTCAAACAAACCTATAAGGCCTTGACAGCACAACCAAAATTAGACTGAGATTAAACTACAATCACTTTACTCTATTGAATAATTATGGGATTTCTGAAGGAAACATGCTACTGAGAATCTATTTAGGGGTATCTGAGTAAATGGGGAAAACATATACCACAGGTTTTAGATTTTGATTTACAATAGATGGATCTGCTGGGTGTAGCTGAAATTTCGTTTTACCATAGCGAGATTAAATCACCTCCTTTTTCATCCCTCAAGGTATAAACATGCTGTTTGTTTAGGGGGAAATGGTCGGCCTAGTGAGCAGCTACACACATATTACACACTGTACAAACAGTGATTTACAGACACGAAAAATGTTCTTTTCCATCTGTTTCAGAGAGTATTAAATCTCCTTCCCATGGTTGTGTTTACATTTCTCCCACCCTAGTAGATCCATCTATTGTAGCCAAGAAAACACAATTTAAGACTAGATGTGCAAAGGGTTCACTGCGTCAGGGGAAAGTCAGGGGACGTTGTTATTTTGTGTAAACATGAAAAGACATTGGAGCCAGGATCTGTTATTTTAATCTTACTGGAGCATTTGTAGAGTTTGCGTGCCTGTGCAATATCCCCCTTGCTAAGTCGGGTTCTCTGGCCAATGGGTGGTCGTACTCCGTTTACATCGTAGCGTGGCAGGATGGTGTCCAGGAAGATGCCTCTGTTGGGGGAAAACAGAATGATGCTGAGAGCTGTTCTTAATCCAAATGGGCAAGCACATCATACACAAAACAAAAATTTGAGCACTCAAAGATGGCATGATTTATAAAACAAAAAGAACTATATGATAATGAAAAACTTTTAAAGCTTCCATTCAAAACTAACAAAGATGCACAACAATCAAAATACAAAATCACTGTATTCAGAAAAATCCATTTGCCTCCTGATTAATCTTTGCATTTACCTTAAATGCAAAGAAATAAAAAAAAAAAAACAAAAGAAAAACTGATGGCCGATGCTACTCGGTAATTTAAGTAGCGCACGTAGGAAAATAGCACCATTAAGAAATTTAATAGTTAGGTATAACAAAGTGAATAACGATACTGGATAAATGGGTGAACAGAATATAGTATTGTGAACATACTGTATATAGATATTTTTTCATACTGGATTAAGTTCTGAGCAGAATAAGCTCCATCTTCACCCATTTAATTTATGTCAGAAAACTATTATTAATTTATGCCCAAAACATCTGTAATACAAGAGGTGGGAGAGTATAACTGGTGAAAAACAACTTAAACCAGACCTTTGAAGAACTAAACATGCTTGACACATGGTGCAAAATTCCTAAGAATTAAGTTTATGAAAAATAGACGATATTATTGAAGGTTATGCAAATCCACAGTGCAGTGGTCAGGGA